CTGGGGGCACTGGAGAGGCTGGAGTTAGACCCCAGGAGGGGCCAGGTCGTGGCTGTGGGCAGAGCACCCGGCACATCTGAGCTGGAGAGCAGGGACCCCTCATGTACCCTCTGCCAGCAACCCCCACTGCACTGTGGGTCCCACTGGGGCTGGGGGTGGTGGGCAGGTGTGGGGATGAGGGCCTGTCCTGCACATCCTGGGGCTGGGGAAGGCGATGCTGGTCCAGAGCCACCCTGTGCTGGGCAGCCCTGACCAGGCTGGAGAGCCCTGTGGTGCCCATGATGGGCAGAGGGGGAGTCTGGCTGCACTGCCTTGGGTGGGCACAGGGTCTGCAGTGCCAGCAGGAGGGAGCTGTCCCCACATTGTGTCCCCTCCATGCTGTTGGGTGCCAGTGAAGTGTCCCCTGCCCTCATGGACACCCTGCCCACAGCTCTCCCCAGCACTCAGCTCTCTGGCTGCAGAACAGCCCAGACCACGGCAAGGTGGTGCTCTTGGGGGTTCCTCGTTTAAATCCAGCTGGGACAGAGCCAGGGGCTGTCCCTCGTGGGTCCTGGGTAGTGCTGGCCCCTCTGCCCTCTCTGCTTGCCCCTGGTGCCGAGCTGCTGTCTGAACTCCCCCTTCTCCCTCTGCCCTCCCTGTCCCAGCTGACCTACTTCGTGGGCATCCTGGTGGTCCTGGCCTTCGCCTCCTGGGTGGCCCTGGCCAGCCCCATGGGAGCCGAGATCTACGGGGCGGCCGTGCTGCTGGGGGCTGGCTCTGCCACCATCCTGGTCACCTCCCTGTCCATGACCGCGGATCTCATCGGCACCAACACGGTAGGGCCGCTCCTGGACCGGGGATGGCAGCAGTGAGCCTGAGCCTGGGCTGTGCTGCAGTGTGGGCTCTGCCCGTGAGAGGGCACAAGGCTCTGGCTGCTGGGGTTGTGTGGCTCTGCTCAGCTCAGCTCAGCAGGGCACCTGATGAGGCTCCCTCTTGTCCTGCAGCACAGCAGCGCGTTTGTCTACGGCGCCATGAGCTTCACGGACAAGATGGCCAATGGCCTGGCTGTGATGCTGATCCAGAACCTGCACCCCTGCCCGTGAGTGTCTCTGTGGGGCTGGGACCCCCCCCATCGCCTGGGGGCCAGGAGCAAACATCCCAGGGCTGGAGCAACAGGCACGGGTGGGAACCAGCTCGGATTTTTAGAATCACAGGATGGTTTGGCTTGGAAGGGATCTTAGAGCTCATCTCGTTCCACCCCTTGCCATGGGCAGGGACACCTTCCACCAGCCCAGGTGGCTCCAAGCCCTGTCCAACCTGGCCTTGGACACTTCCAGGGATCCAGGGGCAGCCACAGCTGCTCTGGGCAACCTGTGCCAGGGCCTCCCCACTCTCACAGCCAAGCAATTCCTTCCCAATATTCCATCTCACCCTGCTCTCTGGCACTGGGAAGCCATTCCCCCTTGTCCTGTCCCTCCAGGCCCTTGCCAAAAGTCCCTCTCCAGCTCTCTTGGAGAGAGAATACCAGAAGTACCTGAAGGTCTAAGGTCTCCCCAGAGCCCTCAGTTCTCCAGTTCTGATTTGTCCTAAACCTTCCCTCACATTCCCTCCTGGCCCTGGACAAGAGCCCAGGCTGTGCTCTGGGGATCTCAGTGTCTGGGTTGGCACCTTCTCTCCTTTCCCTCACATCCCGGTGTGAGCCAGTCCCGACTCCCAGCCGTGTCCCTGCCCGTCCCCACAGGACTGAGCTGTGCTGCCCCGCCTGTGTCGGCTTCTACCGCTGGGTGATGGTGCTGGTGACCGGCGGCATCGCCGTGGCCGCCGTGGCCACGCTCTGCTGCATCATGGTGTGGCCCATCCGCATCCGCCACCGTGAGTGGGGCCGGGGGCTCGGGGGGCACACACAGGGCGGGGGGCACGGGGAGCCCCCGTGGCCAGTGCTAGCCTGGGCTAACGCCCAAGTGTCTTTGCAGATGGCCCCAGCTGCGAACACCCTGTTGGGACCGGGCTGGCTGCGGCCACGCTCGCAGGGGGACCCTCCTGGTAGGACGTGGGGAAGGGGCACTGTCCCGCTTCTGCTGCTGCCCCGGAGCCAGGGCTGTGTCTGCCTGCTGTACCCTCCTGGGGACAGAGACCCCAGCCCAGCAGGACCCCTGCCAGCCCAGCCGTGGCCACACTGGGGCCTGGAGGGGCGGTGGGAGCAGCTGTGCGTGCTGGCAGCAAATGTGGGAGACATTTGGGGACACGTGGGGCTGGGGCGACCTTTGCCAGGCCAGGGACCCCAGCACCAGTGCTGCTGCCAGCTGGTTCCAGTGCCTCGCTCTGGGGTGGGGGGACAGGACCGACCCCTTGTGCTGCCTGGGGATGTGCCGGGTGAGGCCCCTGGTGCCAGCGGCAGGAGAGCTGAGGGGCCAGGCCAGCACGTGGCAGGTCACGCTGTGCTGCCGTGGCTCCTGACCCGTCCCTTCCTCCCGTCCCTGCAGGGCATGCCCGGCTGTGGGGGATGAGCAGATCTGGGACCCCCGACAGCGTAACTGAGAGCACGGAGGGAGGGGGCCAGAGTGGCACCATCAACTGAGCCGTGGGGCCACGTCCTCGGCCACCGTGTCCTCAGGGCCACGTCCTCGGCCACCACATCCTCGGCCACCACATCCTCGGCCACCGCGGTGCCACACTCCGAGTCCGGAAGATCCCCCCGCCGGGGACAGCAGGCTCTGGGGAGGGGAGGGACTGACCCCCGCCCTGTCTCCTTGCACTGGACTCGTGTCCCCCCGGGCCCATGAAGGATGTCCCTGCTGAGGGTGTCACCGGTGCAGGACATCACCGGCCACCCGCACACCCCACTCTGAAGGGCCCGGGCTGGGCTGGGCTGGGCTGGGGCAGCCCCAGCTCGGGGAGGGGGGGCCAGCCCGAGGTTTTAACCTGCTTTTGTAAGGTCAGTACGTACAAACCGCACTTTATAAAGGAGGAGGAAAAGGAGAGGAAAACTCAACAACAGCAGCGCCGGCAGCGCTGGGCTGGGGTGGGCTCGGCCCTGGGCTGGGGTGGGCTCGGCGCTGGGCTGGGGGTGGGCTCGGCCCTGGGCTGGGGTGGGCTCGGCCCGGGGGTCCCGGGGCGGGGCAGGAGCGGGTTTGGGGTTCGGGGGAGGTCCCCAGCGCTGGCCCCGCGGGAGGGGGGCCCGGGGGTGCAACATGGCCGCCCTCACCAAACATGGCGGCGCGCCCGCACACAAAATGGCGGCCGCGGAGCGGCGCTGGAGACACGCGATTGGCTGGTGGGCCGCTGTCCCGCCCCCCGAGGCGGAGCAACCAATGAAGGCGGACCTTGGGGCGGCGGGGCCGGGGCGTGCGTGTGGCGAGACGTGTGTGCAGTGTATGCACATGTATGTGTGTGTGCCGTGTGTGTGTGCAGTGTGGGTGTGCAGTGTGTGTGTGCAGTGTATGCACATGTGTGTTGGTGTGTGCAGTGTGTGTGTGTGCAGTGTGTGTGTGCAGTGTGTGTGTGCAGTGTGTGTGCAGTGTGTGTGTGTGCAGTGTATGCACGTGTGTGTGTGTGTGTGTGTGTGCAGTGTATGCACATGTGTGTGTGTGTGCAGTGTGTGTGTGTGCAGTGTGTGTGTGTGCACATGTGTGTGCAGTGTGTGTGTGTGCAGTGTGTGTGTGTGCAGTGTGTGTGTGCAGTGTGTGCACACGTGTGTTGGTGTGTGCAGTGTGTGTGTGTGTGTGCAGTGTATGCACATGTGTGTTGGTGTGTGCAGTGTGTGTGCAGTGTGTGTGTGCAGTGTGTGTGCAGTGTATGCACATGTATGTTGGTGTGTGCCGTGTGTGTGCAGTGTGTGTGTGTGCAGTGTATGCACATGTGTGTTGGTGTGTGCACGTGTGTGTGTGTGTGCAGTGTGTGCACGTGTGTGTGCAGTGTGTGCAGTGTGTGTGTGTGCAGTGTGTGTGTGTGCAGTGTGTGTGTGCAGTGTGTGCACACGTGTGTTGGTGTGTGCAGTGTGTGTGTGTGCAGTGTGTGTGTGTGCAGTGTGTGTGTGTGCAGTGTGTGTGTGCTCCTGTGTGTGTCTGTGTGCCAGTACATGTGGGTGTATGTTTGTGCCCGTGTGTGTGCCCATGCACGTGTTCACGTGCCCACACGTGTGTGCAGGCGTGTGCTGTGTGTGCACGCTAGCGGGAGGGGCCCGTGCACAGATCCGTGGCATGGTTTGGGTTGTTCACCCCTGCCATGGGCAGGGACACCTTCCACTAGCCCAGAGTGCTCCAAGCCCCGTCCAACCTGGCCTTAGACACTTCCAGGGATCCAGGGGCAGCCACAGCTGCCCTGGGAATTCTATCCCAGCCCCTCCCCGCCCTCACAGCCAACAATTCCTTCCCAATCTCCCATCTCTCCCTGCCCTCTGGCACTGGGAAGCCATTCCCTGTGTCCTGTCCCTCCATCCTTTGTCCCCAGTCCCTCTCCAGCTCTCCTGGAGCCCCTTTAGGCCCTGGAAAGGGCGCTCAGGTCTCCCCAGAGTGTTCCCTTCTCCAGGTGACCCCCCCAGCTCTCCCAGCCTGGCTCCAGAGGTCCACACAGGTCCCCGTGCTGGGTGGACACCCCAGGGTGGGTCTGTCAGGGAGTCACTGCCCAGAAGGACGGGGGTGCTGTGGGGGGTCGGTGTGTGCTCACCAGGACACGGTGTGGGTGTGAGTGGAGGGGGAGCAGTTTGGGGAGGGGGCTGGAGGGTGTGACAGGGTGTGACAGACGCTGTCAGCTGCTGACACACCGTGTGTGGGGGGCACAGAGCGGGGCTCTGGGGGATAACGGGGGGCGCGGGGTGCAGCCCGCCGGCCACGCTGTCACCTGCATCGGGCTGTCCCTGTTCATGGTTTACGGCTGTTCCCGCAGCCGCCCCATTGTGGGAAGGGCGTTTCCAGCCCGGTCCAGAGAGCAGCGGCTGAGCCGGGCTGGGTGCCGTGGCCTTGGCACCTGCCCCAGTGCCCGAGGGGGTGACGGGCTGGCTCTGCAGGGTGAGGGGCTGACCTGCCCGCGGCACTGCCTGGGGCTGGGGGGTCAGGGAGCAATGCTGGGGAGTGCCACAGGATCGTGGGGCGTCCATGGAATGGCAGAACGCCGTGGGACTGCGGGCTGCGCCGCTCCGGCCGTCAGCACCACCTGCGAGGGGGATGCATTTGCAGCTCGTTTTGGGGGCGTCTGAGGCCCTCCCTACGCACACCGTCCCCCGAGGGCTGCGTCAGAGGTGCCTGCGGAGCTGCCACCCACGGGGTCCCCACTCGGGGCAGTGCAGGGGACAGGCAGGGGACAGGGAACAACTGGGGGACACCGGACAGAGGGGACACGGGGATAGCCGGGGGACACCGGACAGCCTGTGGAGATGGAACAACCAGCCCTGAGGATGCTCCCACCCCCTTCCCGGCCAGGGTCCTGCCCAGTGCCCCTTCCCACCGCCCCGGCTGCCCGTGGGGGTCTCACCCACTGCCGGGGGGGTCCCGTGCACAACCCCTCGGTGCGCGGGGTCAGCGGGCAGGGTGGTGGGACAAGTCCCGCAGCCCCCCGGGAGCCGGGCTGGGGGTCACGCCGTGCAGCCCCGCGGTGCCCCGGGCTGGGGCTGCCCCGGCCGCTCCCTCCGAACCTGCCACGGCCGCCCGGCCCCGCCTGCTGCCCTTCCTCGGGAGGAGGAGGAGGAGGAGGAGAAGGAGGCGGCAGCGTCCGCGGAGCAGGAACGGAGCTGGAAGGAGCTGGACAGACCGACGGGACGGGGCGGGACGGGGGTCCTGGTAGCGCCCACCGGCAGGTACAGAGCGGGGTGGGCACGGGGTGCCCGGGACGGGGCTCTGCGGCAGCGCGCGGGGCCGGGACCGCAGCCACCTCCCCGTCCCCTCCGGAGCCAGCCCGGCCACACATCCCCCGCACCCAGCACCGGCCGTGGCCCAGGGCCGGCACCCCCCGCGCCGAAGGTCACAAACCCCCGGCACCTCCCGCTCCAGGTGTCACCACCCCCAACAGCGCCCGGTCCGGGGGTCACCAGCCCCGTCACACGCGGTCCCCGCTGCCCACGGGGGTCGCAGCCCGCACATGACACCGTGGGGCGGGCCAGGGGCTCATGCGACCGGGTGGGCTCTGCTGTCGCGGTCCCAGCAGGGCCTGAGCCCCGTCCCCGTGTCCTCCCCGGCGGAGGGACAAGCCGGTGACACTGAGAGCTGCCACGCTGCAGAGACGGACCGTGCCCACAACCTGCCCCCTGTCCCCCAGCCGTCGGGCCCGTCCCTCATGCCGGGGAAGCTGAGGCGCAGCGCCCGCGGGGTGCTGGGGGAGAAGCAGTGGCAGAGCCTGGAGGAGACGGGAAGCGCCCGGGTGGGGCAGCCCAAGCTTGCCAGGTGGGTGCTGCACCTCACAGGGTGTACCTGCACCTCACAGGGTGTACCTGCACCCCAGCCCCACCTCCCGCGCCCCTGTCATCCCCACCTGCTGCTCCCTTCCAGATCCAGGACTTATGACCCCTCCTGCAAGGACACAGAGCAGGCGGCCACAGGCGGGCAGGGACCCCCATCGCCCTCGGTGAGTCTCGGGGTGCTGGCGCCGAGGAGGGGATCCCAACCCCGGCCCCAGTGCCGTGGTCCCAGCCCGATGCTCTCTGAGGGCGGGGGTCGAGGGAGAGGGCAGAGGTGGTGACAGAGCAGGGGGGGCTCTGGGATGCCCCTGGGATGCCCCCGAGCACCCCTTCATGCCGGCCCCCCACCCCGACCTCCCGCAGCTGAGCAAGCGGGACAGCAGCTACCGCCGGGCCTTCGGGGAGCTCGCCGAGAGGGACGTGCTGCTGGGCTGCTTCTCGTGCGCCTGGCAGAGAGAGGTGCCCTACCACGGCCGCCTCTACGTGTCCTCCCGACACATCTTCTTCCACTCCAGCCTCCTGCTCAAGGACATCAAGGTGGGCTGGGGTTGGGTGCGGGGCTGTGGCGGGACCACGGGTGGCAGATGGGGACATGGTGACACTGGTGACACTGCCCGTCCCCTCCGGCCCAGGCCGTGATCCCCGTCGCCTCCGTCTCAGCCCTCAAAAAGACCAACACGGCGCTGCTGGTGCCCAACGCGCTCAGCATCCGCACGGCCCAGGGCGAGAAGGTGAGAGCGGGGGCGGTGCTGGGGGCGGCTCGGCCCGGGGCTGTTTGGGGTGTCCCGGTCCCCGGGGGCCCGGGGCTGTGACCGAGGGAGCAGCTCCAGTGCAAAGCCCCTTCCCTCTCCTCGGCAGTTCCTCTTCGTGTCGCTGCGCCAGCGAGAGGCCACTTACCAGCTCCTGAGATCGGTCTGCAAACAGCTGCAGGTACGCGGGGGCTGGATGGGGGGGAGCTCCATCCATCCCCTGCAGGGCACCTCCCTTCGTCTCTCCTTGTCCAGGACAGCGGCCGGAGCCCTCGGGACTCGGTGAGCAACGAGGGAACCCTTGGCAAATCTCTGGTAAGGCCGGGGAATGGCGGGCCTGCATCCAGGGGGATGCAGCAGAGGGAGGGGTGGTCCTAGTCCCAGCCCCCTGGCTGGGGTGGGCTGGGTGCAGTGGCCTCTGGGAAGGCTTCTGGTGGGAAGTGTGGAGTGGAAAAGCCGCAGCCCAGGGCACTGCAGACCCCAGGAGCCCCAGAGCTCTCTCCTCATGAGTGTCATCAGGTCCTGCCCATGTCCCCATGGCTGTGGGGTGGGTGCCTTGGGGACACACACCATGTCACGGGCTTGTCCTCCTCCAGAACTCGAGCCACTCGGACCCGGAGCAGAGCACCCCGGAGCCCAACAGCCTCCACGAGTCCCTGGGTGAGCGGCCACCCTGGTGCACCCCTTGCATGCTCACAGCCCTGCTCGTGCCCTCACCCACGTCCCTGCCCTGCTGGTGGCTCCCCTGGGCTCTCCTCCCCCTCCCCGCACACACGTGGTCTGGGGGGGGACCACGCAGCCCTCAGCCCCCTGACCAGCATCTCCCCCAGCACCAGGGAGGGCAGGATTAGCTCTCTGTGGCTCTGTGTGCCCCTGGGACCCCCAGTCCTCTCCCTGGGGCACTCATGAATGTCTCCTGGTCACCCGCAGATGAACCAAGCCCGAGGCCAAGGGAAGCAGAGGAGGAGGATGACAAGGTGGCCCTGCTGACTCCCAGCAGCAGAGAACTGGTGCCCTTGGCACGGACACGCAGCCTCTGGGGTGGGTCAGGGGGCTCGGGGAGGGAGGAGCTGCTGGGACTTCAGCTCTGGCAGAGCCCACCAAGGGGTCTCAGAGGCACTGACACTGCCTTGTCCTGGCAGGGGGGCCCCACACCGCGCTCTGGGCCTGGGCCGCTGCACTCTGGTCCCGGATGAACCCCCAGCTGAGCCTTCTCAACATCGTCATCATCATCTACCTGCTGCTGTGAGTGCCCAGAACCTGCTCACACACCTGGGGCTTCAGGACACCCCCAGTCCTCGTCCCCCGTGGCAGTCCCGGGTTCCCCTACTCCCCCCCTCGGGCACACAGGAGCCTGCCTGTGGCACTGCTTGAGCCCTGTGCCCCCCCGGGTGACACTGGCTGTCCCCCAGCATGGTGGCCTTGCTGGTGTCCTCGGGGTACATCGGGCTGCGCATCATGGATCTGGAGCAGCAGTTGGCGTTCGCAGGGGCTCGGCCGCGCCTCAGCATGGCACAGCAGTGAGTCACCAGGGGTGGGGGGCCCTCTGTGCCTGGCAGAGACCCCCCCTCCCCTGCCTCCCCCTGCCCAGGTACAAGACAACGTGAGGGCAGAGAGGAATCACCAGTGCCCCGGACAGGGGACACAGGGGCCGCCCCAATCCCTTCCTCTGCCTCTCAGGGGGCTCCATCACCAGGTGCCTTCCAGCTTCCCCTGGTGCCTGGGAAGCCCAGAGGGGGTGTGGGGCTCCATCTCGCTCCCCCCGTGTCTCCCACCCTGAGCAGCAGCAGGAGGGAACTCAGGGAGTCCCAGGGGAACAAAGAGCAGCACATGGGGAGGGCTTGGGGGACCCCCCACCCAGCCCTCCCTGCCCAGCAGGGGCAGGCAGAGGGGCCTGGGCCCAGGCAATGCAGGGGCAAAGAGAGCAAACTATTTTATTAATAAAAATTAATAAAACCTTTATTAATATTTATTACCTGCTGGGCCAGATGCCACAGGACAAGCACCAACCAGTCCCCAGAGTCCCCCTGCTCCTCAGAACGGGCCAGGACGCAGCAGGACCAGGGGCTTTGGCTGGTGGGGGGAGGCAGCTCCAGCTGCTGATGTCCTGGGGGGCCAGGGAGCAGCAGAAGACCCTGAGCAGCCCCCAGGTGCAGGTGACAACAGGGAACAGAGGGGAAGGGAATGCAGGCACAGCAGGGAGCCCCAGGGCTCTTACCCTGCTCCAGGACAGGGCCCACCTGCCACAGGAAGGGGCTGCAGGAGATTCAGGGTTCCAGGTACATGGTGGGGACAGTGGGGTCCCACAGGCACTGGAGGTGTGAGCAGAGCTGGGGGGTACAGCAGGATCCACCCCAAGCCCTGGAGCTTGGTCCCATTTTGGGCTGGAAGGGGTCGTGGGGCTCCCCGAGCCCACCAAGGTGGGGAAAGTGAGGCACTGCCAGCTCCTTGTCCATGCTGAGGGGCATAAGGCAGGGCAGGGAGGAGGGGGCTGTGCCTCTCCCTTTTCCCAGAAGCAGGAAAGCAAACAGGAACAGGCAGCTGGGAGCAATAAACCCCAGGTGAGAGCTGTGCTGAGGAACTTGGTACCTGCAGAGCCAGGGGCAGCTGTGGGAGGGACCCCAGCGGGCCCAGGGACTCGCTGCACCCCTCGCCAGGGAGAATCAAAGCGGAGCCACAGAGCCCAGTCCCAATAAATTCACAACCTGTTTAATGCCAGTTCGATTGCTTTACATGGAAAAGTTACAGCACACTCCATGGTTTTTTCCACCATTTGACACCTGGGATACGACGACGCCACAAGGCCACAGACTCTGTCACCAGCTCTGGGAGGACCCTGCGCCCGGGTCAGCGCTCACAGGTCACACCCCAACACACCACCTCAGCTCTGCCCTTTTCCCTGCTGAACCCTCAGCCAGTGACAGTGTCACCTGCAGACACACACACACACCCACACGGACACGACGGGGAGCTCCATCCTGCCCCGGCAGCTGGAGCAGGGGGGGAGGCAGCTCTGGCAGCCAGGGCAGGGTGAGCAGCCTGTTCTCACCGTGCTCCGAGGGCACAGTGTGGCCACAGAACAGCCCTGGCCTGGCAATCACCAGCCCTCGCTGCCAAGTGCAATGAGAGAAGCCAGCATGAGCCATCCTGCTCCCAAGGCAGAGAAAAGTGAGATGTGGAAGCAAGGCATAGTTTGGGAAGGAGCCTGGCAGGAGAGGACAGTGGTGGGGGACAGTGACAAAGGGGTGTCCCTGCTTTGCAGTATCCTGGGGCACAGCTGGGAGCACTGGGCAGAGGCTGCAGTGCCCACCTGGCACTGCCCCCCACCTCAGCAGCTCCCACATCACAGGCTGAGGCAAACCCATCCCTGCAGGAGCCCTGGAACACTGGGGAGCCACACCAGCATCACTCTCACCCTGTGCTCCAGTCTGGGACCCAACTCTCTCCTGCTCCAGAATGGGCACAAACCAGGCAGAGACCTCCTGTGCCCACACCCTAAACAACTACTCCTTCCCAGAGGAGAAAGCAGTGTGTCCTGGGGGTCTGCACAGCAGGATTTGGGCAGAAGGCAATCCACAAGAGACAGGAAAATCCACAGCACAGCCCCCCTGTGCACAGCCCCACTCCCAGGTGACGACACCCATGACAGACCACCTCTTGCTGCAGGTGGCTCTTTGCTTCAAACCCACTCCCCGACTTAATCAATCATCTGACTCAATTTAACACCTCCTGGGTGCTCCCAACCCACAGTGATGTGGAACAGTGCCTGTGAACAGAACAAGCAACACGAGAGAGGCCGGAGGGGGGGGGGTCACTTCACACCGAGCCCCACCTCCCACAGCCAGAGCTACACTAAAGCAGTTGTGTCCAAACTGTGCTTCAGAAATTCCGTGGAAAATCCCTTCTGGTGGCAAGTAAGACTGTGAGATGACAAGGTGGGCTGTGGGCCTGGGAGACTCAGAGCTGCCAGGCTGTATGGAGTGAGGGGGCTCCCAGCACACCAGCTCACCAGGGCCTCCCAGGAGCTGCCAACACGGGGGCAGCACCAAGAGCCTGATCCAGGCACTGGTGTGATGGCACGTGCGGTCAAGGCTGTGGTGAACAGGCTGTACCAGCTCACCCTGTAAGGATACTGGTGGCACTGCGGAGAGGCAATTCTATTCCTACTGCCTGGTTTTCAGGAAAGAAGGGAGGGGAGGAAAGCCAACAAAGAAAGAGAGAGAAAAGCATTGCCTACGTCATCTACAGAGAGAGGGCACGGTCTATATACACAGCCAGGGAATTCCACACGGGAACAGGAAGCAGTGCTGGGAAAGGGCAGGAGGGCCCGGGCAGGGCAGGCACACGTCAGACAGGACAGGCTGTGCAGCCTCACAGCTCCCCTTAAATTAAAAGCACCACACACACACACACACACACACACACAAGTGTTTGTGTCACCCCACGGGCTCCAACACCAGCCACGCTCTCGTCCCACGTGACCTAAAAACCCCAAACCAAAACCCGACAGCAGGGCCCTGGCTGGGACTTGGAGATAACAAAAAGCAACACTGCAGCCCTGCTTTAGGAGAACCCCCTTCCAGCCAGAAGAGGCCCTGCTTGCCCCAAAAATCAGATCCTCAGGAGGTATTTTGGCTCTCAAACGCATCCCAACTGCTTCTGGCCTCAGGGAGACTCCGGAGCAAGGCACTGGGGGAAGCTCCACATGCACGGGGGGATTGGGTTTCTTTTTTTATACAGTCCTTGTTTCTCCTCTCTGGTACCTCACAGGATCAGCCCAGAACATGCAACAGCAACTGCAGAACTTCCCGAATCTGCTCCCTCGGAGGTGAAGCTTTTCGAAGTCTCCTCCAAAGTTTAGAGCCCCAAAATGTATTTGTTCAGAGGCAGCTGTCAAGCACACCAGGAAAATCAAGCTGTCTTACGGGAATGATTATGTCAAGTACTACAGTACCTGTCTGGGTGAAAAAATAAAGAAAAAAACAAAGGAAAATAGGCAGTTCTCCAGTTTCTTCCTGGAATGGGGATGGCAGGCTATGAACAAAGCCCTTCGATGCCCAGCTGGAGCTGTGTCCACTCGCACCAGTGGTACTGGCCCAGGCTGGTCGGCTCCTGCCTCCAGAGATGTCACTGAGGACACAGGGACCCAGAGCAGCACGTCAAACCCCTTCCCACAGCGGCAAGGATATGCTCCTCTCTCCCAGGAGGGACAGCACGGCCGTGGGGATGGCCTCAGTCCGGTCTCAGTGGTCCATGTCACACGAGTGCTCCCCGGTACCGTCCGGAGGGCTGGAGGATGCTGGGTTAACATTTCTCTTGTACCCGTTTCCCTTTATGAAAGATGAATCCACAAACCTTTGGCAGTTCCCTCCCCTCCCCACCCCATCCCAAATACTGCCCAGCGTGGATCACAAGCACGTATTTATTGAGCTGGGTCCTCCTCCAGTCCCTCAGCTCTCCCTCCCCTCGGCTGGGCTCCGGGGGTCCATGCAGGCCGAGGGAGTGGTCTGATCCTGGAATGTCAGGCTGTAGGTTCCTGGGGCGCAGGGAGAGGGTTTATCGTATCCTGGTGAAGAGGTTAAGCACGGACACAGACTCCTGAGGAGACAAAGCAGGGGTAAGTCCTCCACAGCTCTAGCTCCACGTGCTTTTGTGTTGGTTTGTTTTTTAATCTGGCGAGGTATCTCTAGCTCAGCACATGATCCCAGCTCACCATCCAAAGTCCAACACCCATAAATATTCCCATGGGTTACTTCCAACTGGGAACAAGGAGCACAGCAGGCCAGTGTTCCCACAGCTCTGCAGGCAGCTGTGCCCCAGAGCAGGCAAAAACCAAGGGACCCTCAGCAGCAGTGCCAGCTCCCCCCAGCCCCATCCTCCAGATCCCTCTACCAGGCACCCAGAAAAGCTCTCGGAACACCAAGAACAACCTGCCTCTGGTGATGGTGAACTGTCATTGGCAGCATCCATGACCCAATTTCCATCCAAGCCCCTATTTTAAGGAGTGTAGTAAGGAGCTAAGATATAAGCACTGAATGGTTTGGGTTGGAAGAGACCTTAAAGCTCACCTTGTTCCATCTGCTCTCACAGGCAGGCACACCTTCCACTAGCCCAGGTTGCTCCAAGCCCCGTCCAACATGGCCTTGGACACTTCCAGAGATGGGGCAACCACAGCTGCTCTAAGCAACCTGTGCCAGGGCCTCGCCACTCTCACAGGAAAGAGTTTTTCCCTAAAATCTAATCTAGACCCATCCTCTGGTAGTGGGAAGCCATCCCCCTTTGTCCTGTCCTTTCATGCTTTGTCCAAAGTCCCTCTCCAGATCTCCTGGAGCCCCTTTAGGCCCTGGAATGGGCTTCAGGTCTCTCCAAAGCCTCCTCTTCAGATTGAATAGCCCCAGGTCCCAGCCTGCTGTCACCCCTGAGGGCTCAGTTCACAGCCACACACCATCAGGAAGATGGTGGGCCCAGGGTGAGCCCCCCAAAACGCCGCCCAGCAGCCCTGGGACCAGCCTGGACAGACAGGGATGTTGTGTCACACTGCCTTGGGCACACAGGGTGACCTTTTACTTCATCTGACAACAAATCCATTAAATCTCAGCAGAGCTGAACCCTCCCCTGCCCCCAGCCCTTGCTCTGCAGGAAGCAGTGAAGGGATCAGAGGGAAGGCAGCAGAGCAGAGCCACCGTGCCCCGAGTGCCCCCCGAGCAGCCCCCCCTCCTCCTCCCCCCAAGGGCCCTACCTTTGTGGAGCGAGTTTTACTGAAGACGTTCCAGAAGCGCAAGGTCTCGTCCCCAGCTCCTGTGACAATGGCCTCCCCGTCAGGGGACATCGCCTGCGGCCAAGACAACAACCCTCACCATCTGCCACGAGGCTCAGAACAGACCTCCCTTGGAATGCAGGAGAGAGATTTAACCCTCCTTCCTACTTGGCTGGCAGTGAGAAGCCAAACAACTTCCCCTG